AGGTTAAAGATAAAGGCGTCTCAGACAAGCAGATCAGAGTGGAGATGGTGAGAAGCGGTCATGTATTAGATGTATTTTGAAAGTAAAGTCAACAAGTTGACAAGTTGATGATATATTAAACTCGATATGAATATTTAAAAAGAATCAAGTTTACCCTGAGGTAATTGGCCCAAGTAAATGGAATGAACTGGAAATAGCTGAAAATAGCTGTGAATAGCCTAGTTTTTGGTGGAAGAATTAGGAGTTAAATGTTAGACATTCTGGTTTTGAAATGTCCATTAGCTATCTATCTATGTATAAATGCATGTGTTGACAGTTGAATACACAAGTTTGGAGTTTTGAAAGAAGTCCTGGATACATTGTCTTCATGATCTTTCTCATTTTCTTCCATTTTATGTCTATATCTGGGTAATTTTCTGAAATCTTTATTTAAATTTATTTTTTTTCCTTTTTTATTAAAGATTGCAAACATACATGATAACAAGAAATGAAGATGCTAAATAAAAATTTCAAATATACATATATATGACAGCAAAAAAGGATATGAAATAAGAATTTATGTAACAGACTAATCGAAATACATTAGTTTGATATGATCTTCAAACATTATGTTCTTTCTCATTTTCTTATAATATTTTTGAAATAATGTGATTATAAATAAAACAAAGTCACATATTATAGTTGATAAATTGTCCTCAAAATTTTATGATTTATAAACTCCTTGGTTTTATTAATTGATAAATATCATATTCTTGTTGATTGTACCACTTACATTTTCTAACAAAACTTCTCACAGAAAAAAAACTTATATTTGAAATCCAAAAGCAGCTAAAAAAAATTCACATTTTTAAGATCAGATTTTTGTTTCTATTTTATTATATCCCATACTTCTTTTTATTATATATTTATAAGCATAATGATAGAATTTAATACCAATAGATGTAATATTCTTCCCAAATAAATGACTATGAATTAAGTCAAGCATGTAATTTAAAGAAATCATAAGATTGCAAGAAAAACTATCAATATGCCAAATGTACATAGTCCTACCACATTCATACCCCTGTTTCTCATTTAGTAGTGCACATATATATATGTAAAAACATACCCCCCACATATATACACAATACATATTTTCTACAATACAATATATACTTAGGTATAATAAAACAGTGCAGTGATGTGTGGAATGCTCATGATTTGTATACTTTGAGAAAAAACAAATATCATCTTTGAGGGAGTTGGAGAATTTGTAATATGTACCAGATACTAAATGATATTAATGATTAAGTATA